TGAGGCTGCCTCTGGCCGTAAGCAGGTACCAGGACTGTGTAAGTCCGTCAGTTTCCTAGGCTGTTCTTATCTTGCTGGTCGATTTGATTCCCATTTTACAGATAAGGAAACCCAAGTTCAGAGGGGCAAGGAGCCGGGCCCAGGGTCAGGCAGCCCACGCTGGAGCACAACCCCGGGAGCTCTCGCCTCCACCTCTGCATTCCTGAGCTGGCAGGGCCTGGCCAGGGGTCTTAAGTGCTGCATGGGGTGGGGTGCAGTGAAAGGTTTTTGCCTTGTGGGAGTGGCATGAGCCCCACGAGGTGGTCTGTTCCTGCCATCAGGACCCCTAGCTCTCGGGGGAGCAGGCTGGGTTGGGAAGGGCAACTGAGCCTGTTAGCAGGTTGCCCCAGGGCTGCCCGGCTGGGTCTGGTGCAGAGGGGCATGTCTGTGGCCGTTCACCTTAACGAGTGCAGAGGCCCAAGGCCCACGGGGTGTGTTCAAAGGCCCCCTGACACTACTCAGGGGCAGAGGTGTCCTGCTGGGCAGGGGTGGCCAGGTGGGTTGAGGGGGGCGGCCGGTGCCTCCTCCTCCCCTCGGAGACAGGTTCCTCTTTGCTCCTGGCAGGCCTGCAGCTCAGAGCTCCCACAGAGGCCGCTCCCCTGCCAGGGCTGAGCCCCATCACTGCACTCGCCAAAATAGCTGTCTGGGAGCCTGGGCCCGCGCCACCCACGCCCCAGCATCTCGCGGGTTAACAGCTTGCCTGGCTGTCCGCCCCCTCCCCAGCCTGCTGACATTTCAGAGAGGCGGGGGCGGTTGTGAAAGGGGGCAAGCTGGTTCCTGCTCCCCAGCCCACACGGACACCCCACTGGCACAGCCTGCCGCCTGCCCACCCACCGCTGGAAGGCACCCCTGGTGGGCGAGACCCACCTGCCCCTGTTAGGAGGCAGTGTAAGGGGCGCACTGCTGAGACCAGCCCTGGGAGACTCAGGGCGGCCCCAGGCAGCTGCACTCCCTGGGGCGGGGCGTTGGGGGGCGTGTTTTTTACAAAAGCTGTCTTAAGGTCTTTTTTCAGCATTAGAGATCCTGTAATGGAAGTGCGCACAGCACCGTGTCCCGCCACCGCTCAGCTCGGGCAGACCGTACCCTGGCGCCGCACTTGCTTTGGCTCGAGACAAGGCGCCCACATCCTCCTCCCCAGAGGAGGCCCCGATCCTGACTCTGGTGTTTGTTGTAACGGTTCTCCTGCCTGGGTGTGGAGCCCTCGGGGCCTGATCTTACCAGCGCGGTGTGCATTGCCCCCTCAACACCACTGTGCAGGCTCAGCCATCTTGAAGCGTGAGCTCTGGTGAACGGCCCGGGGCGGGGCACATCACGATGTTTGTGGAGGGCGGCATTAAAAGATAGGCCAAAAATTCTGAAATCCATGCACACGAGGGGCTCCAAAAGGTTTACGAAGAGTGCATATTACGAAAAAGCTGTGGATGGATTTCAAAAATGCCTCGGCATCGAAATAAACTAAGCATTCGATTCTGTCTTTCCACAAACTTGGCGACGTGCCCTCTGACACTTCCTTTTTGTGCCCTGCTCATCTGCCCGCCGGGGGACACTGGTGTGAGCAGAGCCTCTGGCTGCCCCAGCGCACGCCACTGCCGCCCGCCTCCGCCCGCCAGTGCTGGCTCGCAGGTGTGCATCTGAGCCCAGGGAGACGTCGCCCCCTGTGCTCCAAAGTGGCTGCCCAGAGGCTTACTTACACCTCTGGAGTCCTTGTTCTTTGAACTTTGATTTTTTTTTAAGATTTTTTTATTTACTTGAAATTCAGAGTTACACAGAGAGGAGAGGCGGAGAGAGAGAAGAGAGAGAGATCTTTCATCGACTGGTCCACCCCCTCAGATAGCTGCAATGGTCAAAGCTGTGCTGATCTGAAGCCAGGAACCAGGAGCCAGGAGCTAGGAGCTTACTCTGGGTCTCCCACGTGGGTGCAGGGGCCCAAGCACTTGGGCCATCCTCCACTGCTTTCCCAGGCCATAGCAGAGAGCTGGATTGGAAGAGGAGCAGCTGGGACTCGAACTGACGTCCTTATGGGATGCCAGCACTGCAGGTGGTAGCCTCACCCCTATGCCACAGCGCCAGCCCCCTGTTTGAACTTTTGTAAGCCAGGGAATTAGCTACTACGAACAGACCAGTGCCCCACCAGGGACTAGGTGGGTGCTGGCCCCATGTGACAGGCCAGGACAGTGAGGTTCAGACAGGCCAATAGGCTCCGCTTGAGCGCGTCCAGCTTGTCAGAGTGCCCTGCGCCCTTGAGCCCAGTGCCCCGTGGAGACCTCGTCCCCGTGACCTCCTGGGCTTCAGGCCCGGTTCCTGCTTGGAAAGTCAGGAAGCCTTGGTGGGGGTACCTGGTCCCTTGGGGTGCACGTGACCCTGGTTTCAAGAGGGACTTTTAGGGGCTGGGGATGGAGCAGGTGTCAGATGGTTCAGAGGAGGGGGTTCAATTTTGAATGAGGGGAGGAGGGAGACCGCATCTCCAAGCAGATGGGGAACGGGAGCCCAGGCCGCAGACACAGGAGAAGGCAGAGAGCGGGGAGCTGTCACCAGAGAAGAGTGGGGGTGGTGACAAAGCGGCTGCCTGGCCGGATCAGCATTGCCTCAGGGTCAGTCTCAGCTTACCTGTGACAGCCCCCCAGTGCTGGCAGGCCGCAGCTGTCCGCTCACCTGCCGCCCCGCCTGCACGAGGCTGAGCCCAGGCCATCCTCCCCTGTCCCTGCGATCTGGTCACTCTTCAAACCACACTGCCACTTCCAGGCCCTGGAGATGCCATTGCGTGCCGTCCGAGGTCCCAGGGGCTCAGAGAGGGCCTGAGCGTGGGAGCGGCGAGCCGGGGTGGGGGGTCTCGGGGAGCCCTGCCAGCTTCTGAGGAGGAGAGGAAGGCAGGCCGTGCAGGGCTCGGGCGTGGGAGGGTGGGCCCGGCAGCATCCCGCCGCCTCTGGCTGAGTGCAGGGCCGCCGGCAGGCTGCTTCACCTCCTGGTGCCTCAGTGCCCGTTCTGTAACGTGTGGGGACCCTGAGACCGGCTGTTCATTTCTGGAAGGACTGGTCGGCCAGTATTTACAAAACAGCCGTGTGCGGCGTAGAGCGTCTGTGTTTGCCAAGTAGAGTATAGAAATTACAGAAGGGCGAGGAGGCTGGAGTCTGCCGACCGCCAGGCCCAGGTCTTCGCCTTCTGCTCGGCTGAACAGCCGGGAACCGGCTGTGGGTGCTGGGAAAGGGGTGATGGTGGGGGCAGCTCTGGGGGACTCAGTCCCAAGGGACTGGGTATTTCCTCCAGGAGCTCAGGTGGCCCCGGCCCCGCCCCTCCGCACCCTCCCCTATCCAGCATTGTGTCTATTTTGCCAGATCCTGCTCCCCAGGTTGCACAGGGAAAGCCATGGAGACCTTGAAGTGGGCGATGGGCCCCGGTCCCAGAGAGGCCTCCAGCCATTACTCTCGGGGGCTCCTGGAGAAGAGAGGGAGGTAGCCCCTAAAACGCAGACAGTTACTTTCCGCCGGTGCCCAATAGAGAAGTGGCCTGGGCCCTGCGGCGGCCGGTCTCGGTTGCGGTGGCCAGGGTGGAAGAAGCCCTGCTCTTCCCTTGAGGCCCTGGCCCTCCCCGGCGGAAGAGGAGCAGCAGACGTGTTGCCAGGCCTCGCGCGGGCGTGCCCAGATGCACTTGCAGCCCCCAGGAGCTGGTGGTGTGGTAGGGGAGTGAGACGTGTGGACGCCGCCTTCCAGGGGTCCAGTGGCGCAGAGGCCAAAGGGGTAGCGTGCAGTTGTCAGTGGGAGTGACACCCCATTGCGGGGGGCCGCTGTGAGCAGGCGGGATTTGGGTGCCCCTGGCAGCAGGGCCCAGCAGGGAGCCAGGCACGGCCACACCGGGGCTCTGTTGGAGCCAAGCGCTGTGAGTGCCTTCCTGCAGGAACACGTCTGCAGAATTCATTCTGAATCCGCGGGTCTAGAAGCCCGGTTCTGGGGGCGTCCTGGAACGCTGCGGGGAAGCCACCCTCACAGCTGTTCTCCGAGCGCCCCCGGTTCGTGCCTTTTTCCCTGTGTTGCCGTCTCTCCAGATGGTGCAGAAGCGAAGGTGGTCACGCCACAGGGACAGCGACACCAGCCAGGGTGGCAGCCCCACGCGCGTCCTGCAGTCTGTGCTCATGGCGGGGGGGGGGGGGGGGCAGAGTATTAAATGTTAATCTTGCACGGCAAGACCCTTGGGCACGGGTCGGTGCTGGTGTTCGCCACTGCTTGCTGCAGGCGTGGGGCCCTCGGGCTCTGCTGGCAGGTGTTTTCGGTTGGTTGGTTGGTTTTTAATGGAACACCGTTCTGACTGGAACACCTAACAGACTAGTCAGACTTGGGAATCCAGCAGATGTTTTCTCAAAATTGAATGAAGCAAGCTTGTCCCATCAAAAATGGTGTCAGTGATAAAATTTGAGCTTTTTGAGCAAAAAAAAAAAAAAACCTTCTGGAAACCTTGTTCCACCGTGTAGAGCCCGACAGCTTCCCAGGACTGAGAACTCGGTAAAGAAGCGAGTGCGATCCTTGATAGTTCTTAGCGCCGAGTGGCAGCGTAGCTCAGTAAGCCAACGCTTCCCAGGGTGGAACCTTCGAGACACCGCATAGCCAGAGAGAAGTTCATTGATGAAGGTTTCGGGTTCCACCTGCCAAGGAACCCTGAAGAAACTGCCGCTCGTCGTATTTGGGTGTAGTAGCCGAGCCGAATACCCACACAGACCCCAGCAAGCCGCTGAGCTCTGTCTCCTTGTCCACTACCTGTCAGCACCAGGCGGTTTCCTCCCTGCTCCCAGGGACAACCCAGGGCAGCCGGCTGGAGGCCAGGGAGATGCCAGCCGCGAGCCAGCTGCTCCTCCGAAGCTGGGTGCCGGAGAGATTTGCAAACACCTGACGTCGTTTTTACATCTTCACTCTTTTTTTTTTTTGCCTTAGAAAATACAATTTATTTTTCATAACTCTTACTTATGTTAGTACCGTGTAATGGATTTCATTGCCTGTAAACATATGAACAGGTGTTTTCAGCACGTCTCAGTTTGAATTTCTGATACGGTCAATAATAATAATAGCTGTCACCCCCATCCCAAATTGAAACCTTCTGGAATCTTCAGTAGTTTCTAAGGGTGGACAGGCCTTCTGGGATCCGGAAGTCATCTGGCTGCCGCTCTTCTGGGCCCTAGGGAGCCGCCGCAGGCCTGTGCGCCGGGGGAGGGGGTGGTGGCATTCCGGCAGGACGCGGGTGACCCAGCTGGCCTCTCCCGGGCATTCTTGACTTTGGCATGAGCCAGGGCAGCTTGGGAAGGCCCCGTTGGCAGGGCCAACAGACCCAGAGTCCGGATCCCAGGTCAGCCACTTCTGAGCTCCGGCCTCCAGTCTCATAACCCTGGGACCTGTGAAACACTCCGCAGGTGTTTATTTGTACCCTTTCTGCTGAGCCGGTGCACTTAGCCGCCTCGGAGCCCCGGAGAACCTGTCGCTGGATGTGAGAGGCCATCAGGTGGCCGGCCGGCTACCTTCTCCATGGACCCTGTCCTGGTAGCTGAGTCTCCGGCCGCACTGGAACTGGCGGAGGCTCGGTTGGGCTGGCGCACAGCCTGGCTCTGTGGCCCCCGGGGTAAGAGGAGCCCGGAGGCTCAGATACCGCCCACCGGCCGCCTGCCTGCTGCAGGGCCTGGAGCCACCGCTGGGAGAGGAAGTGCAGTCGGTTACCAATCAAGCTATTTTCATAACGGCTGTCTCAGGCTGGGGGGAGGAGGGTGGTGAGGGGGAGGGGGCAGAGGAGCAGCCACTGCTGCTCACTCTCCAAACTAGGACTTGCTCAGCAGAGGCCGGCAGCCTGCAGCCTGCAGCTGGAGCGAGTCGGCCCACAGGGACCCCAGCCCCCACCTGCTTGCCCACCGCCCTGCCTTCCAGATCAGGTCAAAAGGGGCTTCTGCAACCCTTCCTTGTCCTCCCTTCCCCCCCTCCCTCCCTCCCTCCCGATTCTGTCTGCTGGCTCTGGGGAGGGGTGGCTCCGGGTGGGCCCGGACACCATGGTTCCCTAGATGAGAGCCTTGCTCTCCCAGGCCCCCAAAGCTGATGGAAAAGGGAGAGGGTTCGGTCATGTCATGGCCTGGCCCAGGCCCGCCTGCTCCCCCTGGGCCCGTTGCTCCTTGTTTTAGTCTTGGCAAGGTCCCCTTAGTGAGTAGAGGCCTGCAGAGGTCAGGACCCTGCCTCCTCTTCCCCACCACCATGGGGCTGTGGGAGCAGAGTAGCCAGAGGTGACTTCTGGCCCGCAGTCCCCTGGGGAAGCGGCTCTGGGCAGGGGGATACAGTCACCCTGCGTAGCCTCCCCTGAGCTCTGCCCCCTGCCTGGGATGAGCGAGCTGGTGTTTCGTGGGAGTTCCTGCAGAGGCCTGACGCCAGGTGCGGAGCAGACCCCAGGTGCGGAGCAGACCCCAGGTGCACAGGCTGGCGGGCTCTGTTCCTCCGTGGTGGTGGCAGCCGCCCTGGGCACTCCTGCTTCCCTTTGTGGGCTCCCTCCCCTGCTGTGGGCAGAGACCGACTCCCGGAGATGGCCGGACCCCAGGCCCTGGTGTCTGTGGATGTGCCCCCCGCCCCTGCCCTGCCCTGCCCGTGCTGTCTCCTGCTTCGAATCAGAACCTCTGGGTCTCTGGGACCCAGAAGGGTTGGTCAGCCCAGGGTGTGGTGGCAGGTGCAGGATTCCCGAGCGCTTGGGCTCTTCCATGTGCGACTGGCACTGGGCTGGGAGGCTGGGAGCCCCCTCTGGCCGGTGCCCAGGGAAGCCTTCAGGCCAGCTCCGCCCCACTGGCAGGTGCCTGTGCCCGCGGGTGTGCCTGGCCAGGCGCCTCTGCCCTCCACAGGCCCTGCGAGTCCTTGCCCGTCCTGTCCCCTTGGTAAAGCAGGCTTGGGGCAGCCATTTTGCTGTGCTGTTGGTGGCAGACCCTGCGGGGTCTCCTCTGGCGACCTGCACACCTCCTGGGGCATGTGTTGGGCTAGCAGGGGGGCGTGAGGGAGGCTGTAGACCCCGGCAGGGCTTCTGCTGAGACCCGGAGAAGCCCCTGTGGTCGGGATAGGAAGTGCGGAGTCAGGCGCCTGCTGACCAGAGAGTGGTTTCTATGGAGACGGAGGCACAGGAAGCATGGGCACCGGGGTCAGGACGCTGGGAGCCTTGCAGGACGGACAGTCCTGTGGACAGATGGGGAAACTGAGGCTGTGCATGTGGCCACGGTGCTGGCCTGGCTTGGGCCGCCTTGCTGTCTGCCGAGAGACTCCTGAGCAGATCTGGACTTGGGGCCCCCCAGCAGTGTGCCAATGGAGCACCCCTCAGCGGGGCTGTGCTGGCCGCCTCCGCTCCCTGGCCCCGTGGCTGTGGGTCTGGGGCAGCAGGCAGGGCCCAGCCCTCCCCACAGCACCTCCCCCACACTGACTGTGGCCTTTTGTTTTCTGGGTGACACTAGCATCAGGCGGTGTGTCCGGGTGACTAATCTCCTCCAGGCCAGGCAGCTGTCACCGGGTGGGGAGTGCTGGCCCAGGCTGTGGCAGCAGCGGGTAGCGGGCCTCATGCCGCTCTTGTCGGGACCCAGAGGGGACCCCGGCCTGGCTTCCAGTGCTGGCTCTGCTGCGGATGTCCCGGAGCCCATGGGCGTGTTGCCGGGCCTCTCCAGGCCTCAGTCTCCTCATCTCTGTCCTGTCTTCCTCCTCGGGCAGTGGTGGGGAGCAGAGATGACAGTGCCTAGCCTGTCACGCAATGGGTAGTTAGTGGGACTGTCAGTCTCCCTCCTCCAGGTTCCTCCCCTCCCCTCCCCAGCCAGCTGCTCCCCCCTCTCAGGTGCTGGGGGTGGGGCAGAGATCGAGTTCCCACACTGGCTCCTCACTGGCTGTCCCCGGCAGGACCAGTGTGACACAGCGGCTGTTCTTGGGGAGGTTGCGGCTGGCCGGCTGGTTCGAGTGTGTGTGGAGCGGGCGCTCCCTGCCCTTGGGACTGTCCTGCCCAGTTGGTCTGGTGTAAGGGGGCCACTTTTTTGGAGCCGAGAACTCTGCCCTGCCCTTCTGCTCATCAGCGGGACCTAGGGACTCGTCCCAGGCAGAGATCCGGAGCCAAGCAGTCTTGGGCCCTGCTTCTCCAGCCACGGGTGCCCCTCCCTCAGCACCCCTGCACCTGGTCTGAAGCTGCCGACGCCAGCCACGGGGCAAAGCAGAGAGTCGGGTGGGTTGGAGGAGCAGGCGCCATCTCTGGCCCCACGCTGGACTTCCCCCAGCACCTCGGCTGCCACCGCGCTGTCCCATGCTGGGACTTCCCTCAGCCTGTCGCAGCCTCAGGGCCCTGAGAACATCTGATGGAGGCTGCAGGTGGCCCCGGAACCCTGAGCCAGTCCCGGCTCCCTGCCCCTGTGCGACTGTTGGGCACACCCCCCCCCCATGTGGGGACCATGAGCCTGATACCCTTGGCCAGTGGAGGAGGCGAGCGGGCACAGCTTCAGCAAGGGTGGAACCTCCGTGCGGAGGGAGCCGAGGGCTGTGTGAGTGCCTGCACCAGGGCCCAGGACAGGGCGCAGGGTGGGGAGGGCCTCAGCCTGGGACGGGCATGCCCTGCCCTCCAGAAAGGCCGCACACAGCCCTTGTGTAGCCCACGTGCTTCCCGGGACTCCCACAGATGCGCAGGCGCGCCCCAAGCCTGGGGGCTGGGCGTTTGGCTGGAGGCCTGGGTGTCCCCTCAGTGAAGTGGGGGCGGCTCCTGCAGGTAAGCTGACCTCAGCTCCCTGAAGCCTGCTCTCCCGCCCCGGCGCCTTTGACCCCTGAGCCAGCACCAAGGGCCAGGAGGGTCTGGGTGATACCAGGCACAGAGAGCCCTGTTTCCTTGTCGTAGCTTGGCGTGTGCCAGGAGGGGCAGCCTAACCTGCACAGGGCAAAGCCAGACGCCCACCCACAGCCAGGGGCAAGCCCTGGGCCCTCGGCCTGCTCTAGCTTCCGTTTTCCATCAGCTTTTGGCAAGGGCTGTGGGCCCAGGGCCCTGTAGATTACGGTGCCGGGCAGGGGAGGCCCCTCCTACCGAGAACTCCTAGGTGAGCATCAGGGCCCCCCTGAGAATACCCTGGTGGCCCAGATGCCCTGTTCACGGAGGCCAGAGCCATGGCTGCCCTCAGCCCTCCCTCCCCGGGTGCAGGCTGCGAGCAAGGCAGGGCCCGGCTCCTGATGCTGCTGGTCTCTGTGCCCTACAGCCGCCCGCCCGCCCTGGCCCATGGAGACCCTTAGGAGACACTTCCGGCGGCGGCGCGGGAGTGTGGGGCTGCCCACGGGCAAGGCCCGGCGCCGCTCCTCCGCGGGGCAGGCCTCCTCCTCGCTGGCTCAGCGGCGCCGCTCCAGCTCCAGCGCACAGCTCCAGGGCTGCTTCCTGGGCTGCGGGGTGGGTGCGCAAGGCAGCAGCCGCCGCCGCTCCAGCACCGCACCCCCTGCCTGCAACCCCCGCTTCGCCGTGGAGGAGGTTCCCGGCCTACAAGCCACCGCTGTGGGGACCCGGCTGCTGGGGGCACCCCTGCTGTTGACTGGGCTTGTGGGCATGGAGGAAGAGGAGGAAGAGGGGGTCAAGGAGGAAGATGCGACAGTTGGCGCACCGAGTGCTGCGCAGCCACGCACCGCGACACCAGGGCGCCCCCGGCACTGGGGCGTCCGGCCACGGCTGCCCCTGCCGCGTTGCCTACGCCGGGCCTCCTCCCACCTGCTCCCTGCCGACGTGGTCTACGGCTGTGCCCTTTGGGGCCTGCATGGCTGCTACCGGCGCCTCAGCCAGCAGCGGCTCTCAGGCCAGCACCTCGGCCCGGGCGGTCGAAGAGCCTCGGGCGCGGCGGCGGGCTCCGTGGTGCCGGCCCGCGTGCGCCCTCTATGCCGCAGGCGCCAGGTAGCCCTGCGGCGCAAGTCAGTCGGAACCCAGGCGTGGAGCGCCCTGCTTGTGTAGGTACCGCCGCGGCCGGCGGAGCGAGTGGGCTCGTGCAGGGAGTCTCAAGGTCCTGCCGCAATGTGGGCAGAGACCCCAGGTGGGGCGGGAAGGAAGTGAGGTTCGTCTGGCCTCAGCTGTCGTCTCCTCTGTAGGAAAGCCATCACCAAGTCCGGCCTCCCGCACCTGGCTCCTCCCCCGCCGGCCCCCGGGGCCCTGTGCGGCGAGTCTGAGCGGCAGATCCGGAGCACCGTGGACTGGAGTGTGAGTGGTGTGGCAGGCAGAGGGGGCGGGTGTGCCGGAACGCGCTCTGGGCGGCCAGGGCAGGAGCCCGTGGGCCTGTGCGGTCCCGGCAGTCCTGGGGTGGGGGGTACCACCTTTGAGCCAAGCCTTAAGAGTAGGGACAGTGGGGAAGAGGGGACAGCCTAGCAGAGGGTGGTGGCTGGAGCGAGAACGTCATGGGCGAGAGAAGCGTGGCAGGGCGCATGGCGGGGCCGAGCTGCCTGCAGGCGCTGAGCACGTTTGCCCCGTGGTCTAGGAGTCAGCAACGTATGGGGAGCACATCTGGTTCGAGACCAACGTGTCGGGAGACTTCTGCTATGTTGGGGAGCAGTACTGTGTAGCCAAGATGCTGGTGAGTGCCTGCCCTGTGGCCTGCTGCCCCCTGGCGGTAGAGCAGGGTCTGACTCCTGCTGGCCTGGGGAAGGTGGAAACCAGCTCTCTCCCCCTGAGCGCGCTGCCGGTGGCCAGGGGAATGGGGCTTTTGTCCTGATGCCAGGCACCAGGCGGGGGGTCCCCAGCGCACGTGGAGGGGCAGCGCTGGGCCAGATGCAGAGGATTTCTCTGCCTGCCCTGAGGCCGGGTCCGGCTGGAGTGACCTGCAGCCCCCTCTCTCTGTCCCACAGCAGAAGTCAGTGTCGCGGAGAAAGTGCGCAGCCTGCAAGATCGTGGTGCACACCCCCTGCATCGAGCAGCTGGAGAAGGTAAGTGGCTGCTCGGACCTTCCCGCCTTCCCCTTTGGGCACCGAAGCCCTGGTAGCACATACAGGTGTGTGCACGTGCGTGTGCGCTTTGCACGTACACCACCTGCCAGGAGTGATCCAGCAAGCGTGGAACCAAGGGCTCAAGGACCCTGGAACCAAAATGCCCCTGCCCACCGCCCCGCGCTGTGTCCTCACTGCCTGGAGCAGGGCTGGCACGGAGAGGGCTTAGTGCACAGTGCGGTGTGTTGATGAATGACGGACGGCCCCTGTGCCTTTGTGGTCATCCAAACTGTGCCTGGCAGATTGATTCCCTGTGGCTGGGCTTGTCCGGTATCACTCCCAAGCCTGGCTCTGCCGCCTCCACGCTGCCTCTGTAGAGATCTTCCTCGCAAGGCCCTGTCCACGGCGGGTCAAGCCAGGGGTCGTGGGGTTGCGGGGCAGACCAGGGCTCCCCTGCCTACACGAACCTAGGCCAGCCCTCAGCAAAGCCCTTAGCGCTGGGAAGGGCACGAACAAGGAAGGCCAGCGTGGCTGCCTCCCTGGCCCCCGTACACCTCTTCTGGGCTGGGCCAGGGACCAGGACCAGTAGGAAAAGTAGACACACAGTCCCAGGCGTCGTGGAGCCCTTCGGCTGGGGTGAGAGCTGAGCCAGGGCTCAGCGAGTCAGCACCCGGTCAGCTCGGTGTGTGGCAGGAACTGGTGGCTGCATTGTCCAGGGGTGCAGGAGGGTGAGGAGAGGCAGAGGATGAGCCCCCCGGGGCCCCCTTTCATGGGGAGACAGACAGGGAACTCCTCCCTCCCTCCCTGGCCCTGGGCAGAGGAAGGAGAGGACCCTGTGGCTGGTGGGCAGGGGGACTTGAGGGGGGCATCCCGTGCTCGGAGGGCTCCCAGGGGAGACTTGGGGTACAGCTTACTGTGAGGATGATGCTGGGTGACCCCGGCCTGGCCAGATGCCTTGACCCCAAAGGAAGGAAAGTCCCAACCCTTTGGTGGTCACTGCCTTGTTCCACAGATAAATTTCCGCTGTAAGCCATCCTTCCGGGAATCGGGCTCCAGGAATGTCCGGGAGGTGAGTGGACCTCCCTGCAGTGCTGCCCCGGGCCACCAGGGGGCCCCAGCTCCCCGGGCAGGGGAAGGGCCATGGGGGTGAGGCTGGCTGGCCTGTGGGGGCTGGCGCCTGCTGCTTCCCTCTGTCCCCCGTGGCTCAGCCTCGCCTCCTCACCTCATGCCCCCAGCCCCCAGCCCTCCCTGGTGGACCACGGGCTGCAGGCCGCCCCTCCCCGCTCACTGCAGTAACCTTTCTCCGCTCCCCAGCCAACCTTCGTGCGGCACCACTGGGTGCACAGGAGGCGCCAGGACGGCAAGTGTCGGCACTGTGGCAAGGTGAGGGCTCCGCCCGGTGCAGGTCCATCGCTGGCTGTGGCCGCAGAGCCCCAAGAGGGCGCTCAGTCTGCCTGCCCTGACGCGTCCGTCCGCTCTTGTCCCTGGGCTGAGCAAGGCAGGAAGTTCTCTCCGCGGATGTTTGCCGCACAGCTGTGGCGTGCCCAGCTGTGCAGTGAGCCCCTGCCCCGCTGCGGGGGGACCTGTGCAGCGCCTCCCAGAGCCCCTGTGAGCCTGTGCGGGTCTCCCAGACGCCCACGGGGGCGTCGTTCGCTTCCTTGCCTCCATTTTTTTTTTCTTTTAAAGATTTATTTATTTATCTATTTTGAAAGGGAGAGGGAGAAAGGGGTATCTTCCATTCTCTGGTTCAGTCCCTCAATGAAACCAGGAACAGAAACCTGGACTACCATCCGGGTCTCCCACATGGGTGCAAGGGCCCACGCACTTGGGCCATCTTCCACTGCTTCCCCAAGTGCATTAGCAGGGAGCTGGATGAGAAGAGGAGCAGCAGGACTCGAACCGGCGCCCTATAGGATGCCGGTACTGCAGGCTTGTCGCACTGCCTCAGTGCCAGCCCCCACGCCCCTGCTCGTCTGGCCCCTCAGTCAGCGTCAGCTCTCAGGGGCACTTCTCTGTTAGGTTTTTTTTTTTTCCCCTAATTTTGGAAAAGGGCTCCATTTCCTGGGGGAAGGGAAGCTGGCAGCCGAGGAGGGCCCGGCTGTGTGGCCTGGCAGCCCCCGGCGCCCAGCCACCCCTCTGCCCCCCAGGGCTTCCAGCAGAAGTTCACCTTCCACAGCAAGGAGATCGTGGCCATCAGCTGCTCCTGGTGCAAGCAGGCGGTGAGTGGTGCGCCCCAGCTGCCCCTGCCCCGGGCGGGTCCGCAGCCCCCGGCTCTCCGCTCAGCCTCCCTGTGCTCTGCTCCAGTACCACAGCAAGGTGTCCTGCTTCATGCTGCAGCAGATTGAGGAGCCGTGCTCGCTGGGGGTGCACGCGGCCGTGGTCATCCCGCCCACCTGGATCCTGCGCGCCCGGAGGCCGCAGGTGAGTGCTGCGCGCTCGGGCGGGCCCGGAGCCGCCAGCCCGGCCTACCCACCGTGCCACCACGGCCCCTGCTTCCCTTGCAGAACACCCTCAAGGCGAGCAAGAAGAAAAAGAGGGCGTCGTTCAAGAGGAAGTCCAGCAAGAAGGGCCGGAGGTCAGGCCCAGGGCCGGCGGGGGGTTGGGGGCACAGCGTGGCTCAGCAGGCCCCAGGTCCCTGAGGGTGCGCCCAGGGGAGAGGGGGGGCGAGAGGGCGGGGACCTCAGGGCTGGAAAGAGCCTCACGGACCCTGTGTCTCCCAGGAGGGCCGCTGGAGGCCTTTCATCATCAGGCCCACCCCGTCCCCCGTCATGAAGCCCCTGCTGGTGTTTGTAAACCCCAAGAGTGGGGGCAACCAGGTGAGTGCAGCCTCCCCACCCCCTCGCCGGGCCCCGTCGCCGGAGCCACCGTCTGCAGCACGCTCTTGTCCCTTGCAGGGCGCCAAGATCATCCAGTCCTTCCTCTGGTATCTCAACCCCCGACAAGTGTTTGACCTGAGCCAGGGAGGGCCCAAGGAGGCGTAAGTACCCGCAGGGCAGGGCAGGGCGGAGTTCAGAGGTCATCCAGCTCCCAGGCCGCAGCTCAGATCCCAACCTGTTCCTGTCGCACCCCCCCCCCCATCCCCCAGGCTGGAGATGTACCGCAAGGTGCACAACTTGCGCATCCTGGCATGTGGGGGCGACGGCACGGTGAGTTCTCTGGGGGCTGGGGGCGTGGCACATGAGGTCAGCGTGCCCTGCCCGCTCTGCCTGAGCCGCCTCTGCCATATGTTTCCTCCTGGTCGGCATGATCTCTTCCCCGTGGAACTGCTCTGCTAAAAGCCGCCACCAGCGGTGATCATACTGCTGCTGGGCGGCAGCGACGACTTGGCGCGTACCCTCAACTGGGGCGGGGTGAGCACCCTCAGCAGGGGTGGGCATGTGGCCGGGAGCTGGGGGCGGGGGTCTCAACCTCAGCAGGGGCTCAGGGGCTGCCTCCTCCCACCAGGGCTACACAGACGAGCCCGTATCCAAGATCCTCTCCCACGTGGAAGAGGGGAACGTGGTGCAGCTGGACCGCTGGGACCTCCGCGCTGAGCCCAACCCCGAGGCCGGGCCAGAGGAGCGAGACGAGGGTGCCACTGACCGGGTGGGTCCGCCAGGGTTCCCAGCCGGGGTGCTGGGACACGGGGTGGTCCCTGCCTCCAAACCTCACTGCTTACTCTGAGCTTGGGAGTCGTGGTCATTGACTTTAAGATTTAGTTATTTGGCCGGCGCCGCGGCTCACTAGGCTAATCCTCCGCCTAGTGGCGCTGGCACACCAGGTTCTAGTCCCGGTCGGGGCGCAGGATTCTGTCCCGGTTGCCCCTCTTCCAGGCCAGCCCTCTGCTGTGGCCAGGGAGTGCAGTGGAGGATGGCCCAAGTGCTTGGGCCCTGCACCCCATGGGAGACCAGGAAAAGCACCTGGCTCCTGGCTCCTGCCATCGGATCAGCGCGGTGCGCCGGCTGCAGCGCGCCGGCCGCAGTAGCCATTGGAGGGTGAACCAACGGCAAAGGAAGACCTGTCTCTCTGTCTCTCTCTCTCACTGTCCACTCTGCCTGTCAAAAAAATAAAAAAAATAAAAAATAAAAAAAAAGTATGTCCAAAAATAAAAAGATTTAATTATTTATTTGAAAGACTTACAGAGAGAATCTTCCATCCGCTGGTTCACTCCCTAGGCAGTTGCAACGGCTGGGGCCAGGACAGGCCAAAGCCAGGAGTTTTGGGTTTTTTTTTTTTTTTTCTTTCAAATATTTATTTACTTATTTGAAGGGCAGAGTTACAGAGAGAGGTCTTCCATCCACTGGTTCACTTCCCATATGGCTGCAACGGTAGGGGCTGGGCCAGGCTGAAGCCAGGAGCCAGGAACTTCTTCGGGTCTCCCATGTGGGTGCAGGGGCCCAAGCATTTGGGCCATCCTCCCCTGCTTTCCCAGGCACATTAGCAGGGAGCTGGACTGGAAGTGGAGCAGCCGGGACACGTACTGGCATCCATATGGGATGTGGGTGCTGCCGGGCCCGCCGATGGGTGTTCACTCAGCCACTTGGCAGATCCCTGCCGGGCACCTGCTGTCTGCCGGGCACCGTTCTAAGCAGCGTACACTGTGGCGTCCGTACACAGCGTGTCTGGGAGCAATGCGGGGAGAGGGGCTGGCCGGGCGCTCAGAGGGGCTCACCCGGCAGCTGGGTGAGCTTCGGTGCGGTCTGTGAGCCGTGCCAAACGCCTCTGAGAACGGCTCCCCGGGCCGAGCGAGCGTGGAGCCGCTGGGGGGCCCCGGGGAGGGCACGGCTGCCGGGCCCGGCCCTCATGTTGGGCCCTCTGCCTCTTCCCAGCTGCCCCTGGATGTCTTCAACAACTACTTCAGCCTGGGCTTCGACGCCCACGTCACCCTGGAGTTCCACGAGTCCCGAGGTGGGCAGCCTCCTGCTGCAGGAGGCAGGTGGGGGGTCTCCGGAGACTGGGGATGGGGGGTCCAGGGGCGTCCATGGGAAAGGGCAGACCTCACGCCCACAGCACGAGCCCAGCAGCTCTGGCAGACTCAGCACGATGGACTGCCCCCATTTCTTGTCTCCACCCAGAGGCGAACCCTGAGAAGTTCAACAGCCGCTTTCGGAACAAGATGTTCTATGCCGGGG